GGGATGGATCGTTGCTTAGGAGGATACCTTTTTCTATGACTTAAAATATAACGAGAATAGGGAGAGAAAGAACATCAAATACAAATTTCTCATAGGAAGGAAAGTCAATTATAAACCTCATATGGTCTTCGAAGGAGATCGATAAGCATGCTATCATCATAGCCTGGCTGCTCCATATAGAATGCCATACCGTCAAGAGTATCCTTATGATCCGGATTTTTTACCAGGAAAGTATAGGCGCTCTTCACTGCCATCTCCAGTTCACCCATCTGTTAAATTGTAATAAACCAACAAGGTATTGATAAACTGCAAAGCCATTGGCTTGTTATTGTATCCTCACACCTATAGCCAAAAGAAAAGCCCACATGGAAGTGAAATACTGATCAACCATCCTCTTGAACAAAAACGATGAGCTTTATGACGCAACAAAGATTATGAAAGTTGTTTCATAACATACCTATACCTTCAAAAGTCCAGCAACTTGAAATGTATTATGTTCTATTCGCAAATTTCATTATAAGATAGCACTTTTCATTATGAGAAACTGCCTCTGCTGGAATTTCTTTCTTGTTAAAGTTCAGCTGCTAGCGCTTGATAATTTTAATCCAAACCGCTTTCCTAAAGAATGTGATAAATGAATTGAACTCACCCTCCAATAGCATATGTGCATATACTGATATGGCTTCCGCTCAACAAAGTCGAAAAATGTGTTCATTTTCTTCAAGGGTGGCCTGTTTTCTGAAATTCTTAGATACGTGAGACTCGGTTAAAAGCATTCATATCTAACATACCAGTGAACTTATCCCTTTTGCATCGAAGCAAGCAGATGGCGCGCTCAGAGTGGGCATGTTTTTGTGAGAAAATACTTTCGTCTGGTGGTTCAATCTGTTGGGTGCACTTCTGCCTGCACCACACCAATTCATCTTCGAAGTACCTGAGAGACAGCCCATAAAACCGTTTCAAAATGCATAAATTTTTAAAAAATTCGTAGCTTCAAAAAAGCAAAAAAAATATCTCAATCATCTATGTAGTCAGTATTTGTAAGCGGCGTGATATAGTCCAGTTTGAAAATGAGCACTTGAAGGGTTTTTCTTTAAAGAAACAATCGTACCCGATTCGAGATATAGTGGGAGATGTTAATGAAATCTTCATAATCTGCAATTTGTAACCTGTAGAGTTAAAAATGTCATGGGAATTGCATAATTTTTGTCAACTACAGTTCCGAGATTCTATTTCGCTTACTGACGAATACACCTTTCGCCTTTTCAAATACAAAAATTTGCAGCAGGAGTTCTTTAGTCAACGTTTGGCGACGATTTGCGTTCCAGTTCTTCCATACGCATTACATGTAATCACTTCGAAGTACTCGTTGATAAACATATATAAAATTTCCAAGACTAAAGGTTTGGAATATTAATGAAACGTGCACATTTGTAATTGAAAAACAAATGAAAATAAGGGTGAATACCTTCTCACATTTTTTGAGTCACTACATACTATCAAACAAACACTAAGCAAGAACTATTCTTTTCTTAAAGAACAGCTTCTCTTTTGAATCGCTGTTCACTTGAAAATTTGAAAAAAATGGTTTAAAAAAATTCCTCTTCCATTACAAACCTATCAGAAATTACTTTATCAGAAAATTTGCTCCAGTCAAAAGTGGAGTTATATCAACAATCAATAAGTTGAACGGAACTATCTATGAAGTGTTCGAACATCCCAAAGCAGTACATCCTATACTGAGCAATGCTATGTACATATGTGACACGAGAAAACTCCTTATAATAAGCATAAAACAAAATTGATTATTACAAAATTCAAAAAGTTGTGTGGAGAGGTTTTCAAAGAGTAAGCAATCAATAATTATTTGTGCATTTTAGATATTATTCAAAATGAAAATTATTGGCAAGACGGATGCCATCGAAGCAAGTTTCTGATGTGGCTACATTTACAAAATAGTTTTCAACTCTTCGTAAGATGCAAATCATATATATTTAATAGAAACAATGTTACCGTGGAAACTAGATCAGATCTCATAACATTTTGTTAGAAGAACACGATAAATGAATATTTTGTGGTTTGAAATTTTGCGCTATTGGTATAATATTTGAGATTTTGGCCAGTAGTTAACATGAGTTGTCATAGATGTCGGAAATATAAAAGTAGGATTGACATCTTACTGAAAGTCTTCCATTGCCCTCCTCATGAAAGCAACGCAGGAGGGCCAGTTCCCATCCGTATAGTCATACTTCCCATATAAATAGAGATCTTCAAATGTAAGCTGTGGCTCATCGGGGCTTGTTCTGGCTCGATCAATAAAAACGAATGCCAGCAGACAATACAAAAGTGCTGGAGTCAT